TGGTATTTCTGGCCACTGTGTGACACAGAGTGTTGGACTGGATGGGCCACTGGCCTGATCCAACACTGGCTTCTCTCTTATGTTCTTATGTTAAGAGCAGAGGTCCATCAGTGGCTCTTAGCCAGAAGGTATAGACAGGAACTCTCGGTCTGGGGCAGGTGATGCTCTGTATTCTTGGTGCTTGCGGGGGTCAACAGTGGGAGGGCTTCTGGAGTTCTGGCCCCACTGCTGGACCTCCTGATGGCACCTGGTATTTTTGGCCACTGTGTGACACAGAGTGTTGGACTAGATGGGCCATTGGCCTGATCCAACATTGGCTTCTCTTATGTTCTTATGTTCTTAACATTTTCCTTCTGTTCTCTGAGAATTTTTATTGTAACGGCTTCCATCTTCAATTAAGTACGCAGGCAATGGAGAGGGAGTGGAATTCCCTGAAGCATCTCTGGAGCAGCCTAAATAGTGTAAGAGGACTGGAGGTTATCAAACGTGATACCAGTTTTTTAAAAGAAATCCAAAGGGGACCTGGGAAATTACAAGCCACTTAGCCTAAGATCTTCTCCAGATAAATTAGCATAATCTGTTATTAAAGAGAGAATTAAGCACATCAAGGGAACAGGGTCTGCTAAAGGAAAGGCAACATACAGCTTCTACAAAGGGAAAAGAAGAGTGAAAAAGAGAAGACACCTCTGTTAGAAACCACAAAAGGTACCAATTACCAGAGGCCATAATAAAAATTCCAACAGAACAGAAAAAAATCTGAACAGAAAAAAAAGGACAGGTGCTTTTTGGTGGGGGGCCTCTGGTGTTCAATACCTTTTGTGGTTTCTACAAAAGGAAGTCCTGTCTCAGCAACCTTTTGGAGTTCTTTGAGACGGTTTATTAATTTACTGATAACATTTCTAAGTTAGCTTTCCACCTAACTCAGGATGCCCAGGGCAGAAAACATGAAAACATTTCAACCATTAAAACAGTGTTTAAAATACTTAAAACAATTAAATAAAACACAAACATATAAACACAGAGGAAAGCTAATAAGAGTTAGTGAGGTTAACAGATGAGTATCTTACATGCTTGAACTTCCAAAAAGCTTTTGACAAGCTATCTCACTCGAGACTCCTACGTAAGCTTAGCAGTTCGGGGATAAGAGGACGGATCCTCTTACAGATTAAAAATTCATTAAGTGGCAGAGAGGAGAAATAAACAGACAGTTCTCAGAGTGGAGTAAAGGAATGAACAGCAGGGTCCCCCACAGTATGATTTAATTTGTGGCCAAGTCTGCAGATGCACGAAATTAATTATGCCCAAGTTCCTCCTGATATGTAGCCGGTATCAACTCCCTTGTAATTCCCACACAATAGATCTAGTCTTGCAATCCGGAGCAAGAGAGAATAGATCCGCTCCATCTTCTACATGTAAAGGTAAAGGTTTCCCTTGCTCGAAAGCCAGTCGAGTCCGACTCTAGGGTTGCGGTGCTCATCTCCGTTTCCAAGCCGAAGAGCCAGCGCTGTCCGAAGACGTTTCCGTGGTCATGCGGCCGGCATAACTAAACACCAAGGTGCACGGAATGCTGTGACCTTCCCACTGAAGTGGTACCCATTTATCTACTTGCAATTTCTTGCTTTCGAACTGCTAGGTTGGCAGGAGCTGGAACGGGAGACGGGAGCTCACTCCGTCATGCGGCACACTCGGGTCTCGAACGGCTGAACGACCGACCTTCCACAGCCTGCAGTTCAGTGTCTTAACCACTCGAGCCACTTGTCTACATGAGAGCCCTTCAAATACTGCAACTGTGTCCCCTCTAAGCCTTCCCTTTCCCAGGCTAAACAGACCCAACCGTTTCAGCCTTTCCTCCTAAGACTTGGGTCCCACAACGTTCCGTCTTGTCCCCTGTGCATTTTAACATCTACATGAAACTGCTGGATGAGGCCATCCAGAGATTTGGGCTGGGTTGCTACTGAGATGCAGATGATACTCAGCTCTAACCTCGTGCTTTCAGCTGATCCCAGGGAGGCTGTGGAAACCCTGACGCAGCACCCACAAGCAGCTCTGGAGTGGAGGCGGGCTAATGAACGGAAGCTTAATCCTGACAACACAGAAGTGCTATTGGTGGTGGGTGGAAGGCCTGACCCAGGATTTAAGGTGTTACCCATTCTGGATGGGGTTGTTTTCCCCTTGAAGGAACAGGTCCATAGTTTGGGGGTGCTCTTGGACCCAGTCCTGCTGGGTGTGACAGCCAGTTTGGTGCAGTGGTTAAAAGTGGCGGACTCTAATCTGGAGGAACCGGGTTCGATTCCCCACTTCTCCTCCACATGAAGCCTGCTAAGTGACCTTGGGTCAGTCGCAGTTCTCTCAGAGCTGTTCTCTCAAGGCCAGTTCTCTCAGAGTTCTCTCAGCCTCACCGGGTGTCTGTTGTGGGGAGGGGAAGGGAAAGGAGATTGCAAGCTGCTCTGAGACTCCAAGTGAAGGGCAGGGTATAAATCCAACTCTTCTTCTTCTCCTTCAGGTGGCAGCGGTGATCAAGAGTGCCTTTTACCAGCTTCAGCCAGTTAGTCGCTGTAATGATTCCTTGTTTTATATGTGTGTCTCTCATTAAAAGTTTGGTTGCATGGCTGAGATATATTAGAGTGGTTGAAGAGACAAGAGTGGTGTGATTGGTGACTGACAGAGAGGGGGAGGGGTTTTGGAAGTGATTCTGAGTGGATGAATATGAATGTCTGTCAGGAGTGACAGTTACAGGTTTGACAGTTGATAAAGACAGTTGTTAAGTTAGTTCGTTCTGAGGTCTGTGAGAGAAGCAGTCGTGTGTGATATAAGAGTTAGGTTCTGTGTATGAAGGAAAGTGACAAGCAGTTCTGTGTTGTGGCAGATAAAAAAGGAACAGCTGCGGTTGTTCACCAAAACGGGAGAGAGAAAGAAGAAAAGTTGAATGTATAGGAAACAGTAAAGTTAAAGAGTTACAAAGTTACCTGAAAGATCCCTGTCAGTAAGGGAGCAGATCTTGTGTGAGACACCAAGCAATTGTTGAAAATATTCACATTACTGGTTACACTGTTCTACTCTTTTATTTATGAATTATTTTAATAAATCTTCTTTATTCAAGTATGCCAACTCTGAAATAAATACTTCCTTAGAACCACATAGTACCTCATGAGCCTTCAACTCGACCTACCTACCCAGTAAAGAGCCAAAGTAGAAGCATAAAGGTTTGGAAAGCCTTAAAATTTCCTGGTGGCAGCCAGATATACCCAATAGAACAAAACATAAAGAACACTTTTAAAAGGAAACCAGACCTCCCCAGATAAGGGGTCGTCACAGTCACCTTCGGTCTTTCCTGGGCACAAAAGACGTGTGTCAGCTACGCTGCCATGGGGGTTGGGGAGCTCGGTCTGTGTCTGGTTAATTGCAACTGCATTCCTTTCTGTGCTTGTTCTGCTTTGTGCCGGAATGCTTATCTATACAGATGTGCAGGAGGGAGTTGTATTGCCTGGGTTTCTCCTAGGTGCCGTGGGAGAGTGTTGGTTCTCAGCTTTAGCTACCTAACGGTCTCCAAGCTTTATCCCACGCGCGGGAGGGTGCCTAATTGGCCAATGCTCTGGGGGGGGTGTGTGCATACGAATACCCTATATCCTATTCTGCCCGTGGGGCCACCGCCATTCTTAACAGTGCTTATGTTACCGCATCTATAGCTCTGCAATAAAAGTATTACCGTTCTTGAATGTGTGTACTTCGTTGTTGGCTGTGGGTTCTGACAACGAGGCCACTGTGACGCGTGCCCTGCTTACGTCTACATTGGGTTACTGCAATGCGCTTTAGTGGAGCTGCGGTGGCTCAAGTGGTTAAGACGCTGAACTGCAGGCTGTGGAAGGTCAGTCGTTCAGCAGTTCGAGACCCGAGTGTGCCGCATGACGGAGTGAGCTCCCGTCTCTAGTTCCAGCTCCTGCCAACCTAGCAGTTCGAAAGCAAGAAATTGCAAGTAGATAAATAGGTACCACTTCAGTGGGAAGGTCACAGCATTCCGTGCACCTTGGTGTTTAGTCATGCCGGCCACATGACCACGGAAACGTCTTCGGACAGCGATGGCTCTTCGGCTTGGAAACGGAGCTGAGCACCGCAACCCTAGAGTCGGATTCGACTGGCTTTCGAGCGAGGGAACCTTTACCTTTAATGCGCTTTATGTGGGGCTACCCTTGAAAAGCGTTTTGTACAGAATCCTGCAGTCAGAATGTTGACTGGAAAGGGTCGCGGGGGCCATATCATCCAGTCTTGGCCCATCTGCACTGGCACCCAATTTGTTTCTGGGCACAACTCAAGGTACTGGTCTTGACCTTCAAAGCCCTATATGGTTTGGGACCAACATACCTAAAGGACCGCCTACTCCCTTATGAAACTACCCAACCACTATGGTCAGCTTTGGAGGCCCTGCTGCGGGGGCCCCCACCTCCTGAGGTTAGGCAGGTGGCAACCCAGGAGAGGGCCTTCTTGGGTGTGGCACCAAAGCGAAGGAGATGCCAAATTACAATAGGCGAATGACAACAGCAGGTGAATGACAATAGCATGCATGATGGAATCAGGTGTGATATGCAGAGGGGTGGAGAAATCGGCATTGGTAATGAGACAGAAAGCCTAGGTCTTGATTCAGTCCAGGAGGATGCCCTGTTGTGAGCTTCATTTAGCCTCTGAAATCATTCCACTATACTTGATATAGAACAGATGGGCTCACAGTCTAGCTGTATCTGAAGAGGTGATCAGTGACTCACGAAAGCTCATCCCCTGCCACAAATGTTGTTAATCTTTAAGGAGCAACTGGATTCTTGCATCAAGAATCCAAGTTCCTCAATGCAAGCATTACTCCCTTCTTACCCACACGTACAGTTTCAAAAGCATTCAGATCCTGACTTTACCACATGTATACTGAAGCTATGTCAACACAAGAAGGATGCCCACGACTCTGGAACACATAAGCACAGGAGACCAATATATTCTTATTTTTGATAGTACAGGCTTTATGTTTTATTTGCGTCTGCAACTGTCCTGATGCAAAAAAAGAAAATCCGGAACCAGGCTGGGCCCGATCTGGTCAGCCGATTCAGTCAGCTCTGTTCAGAAAGCTGTCAAGAGGACATTTTGGTCCCGCGCCGGATCCCCTTCCAGCCTAGCAACCAAGCCAAGGGTCTGGGCGATTCTTCCGCATCAGGAAGTTGATCTTCCGGGCCATTTCTGTGTTATAAATCCTCCGGCATGTTTCATAGGTTATCCGCTGCCTCCTGCGGCACGGTTTCTCGTAATACCGGCGTCGCTGGGCTTCAGCGACAATCCCATCCATAGTCAAGATCCTGCAGAGAACAAGAAACATAAGAACATAAGAGACGCCAATGTTGGATCAGGCCAAAGGCCCATCCCGTCCAACACTCTTCTATGTCACACAGTGGCCAAAAATACCAGGGGCCATCAGGAGGTCCACCAGTGGGGCCAGGACACTGGAAGCCCTCCCACTGTTGCCCTCCCCCCCAAGAACCAAGAAGACAGAGCATCATTTGCCCCAGACTGAGAGTTCCTATCTATACCTTGTGGCTAATAGCCACCGATGGACCTCTGCTCCATATGCTTATCTAATTCCCTTTTGAAGCCGTCCATGCTTGTAGCCGCCACCACTTCCTATGGCAGTGGATTCCATGTGTGAATCACTCTTTGGGTGAAGAAGGACTTCCTCTTATCCGTTCTAACGGATAAGTACCTCTTTCTCTACCTGCTCTTTCCCATGCATAATCTTATAAACCTCAATCATGTCACCCCTCAGTCGTCGTTTCTGCAAGCTAAAGAGCCCAAAGCGCTTTAACCTTTCCTCATAGGGAATGTGTTCCAACCCTTTTATCATTCGAGTTGCCCTTTTCTGCACTTTTCCCAAAGCTATAAATATCCTTTTTAAGGTGTGGTGACCAGAACTGCACACAGTATTCCAAATGAGGTCACACCATTGATTTATATAGGGGCATTATGATATTGGCTGGTCTGTTTTCACAACATGCTTAAAAGGCAAGGAGGAGGGAAACATGCGCTTTCCACACGAACGTCATCGTTTCCTTGGCTGTGTGCTGTAATGCCCACCTGAGCTGGGCACATAAAAAGCAGGCGGGGTAAATAATGCCATCCCGGCAGAGAGAGATCTATTTAGCTACACTGTTCAGGAAGGTGTTTGTACAAAGTAATAGACCCAGAGAAGTTTATTTATTTATTTATTTAATCATTTGCATTTATATCCCACCAGCGGGCTCAGGGTGGGTAACATCATCAGACTAAATGCCATTTCAGTTTAAAACATCAAAACACAATAAAACATTCTAACAATTAAAACAATGGGTACTGCTTGGAACGGCGTCAGTTGGCGATAAAAGTTCTGGCCCGATGGCACCATGAGTTCAAGGCCAGTTGTCGGTGGTCAGGAGACAGGTGATGGACGGGTGACAGCAACCTCAGGGAAATTACAAGAGAGTCAGTATACCGGCTAAATATCAGGAGAAACTTCCTAACTGTAAGAGTGGTTGAGCAGTGGAACAGACTGCCTGGGGAGGTGGTGGAGGCTCCTTCGCTGGACGTTTTCAAGCGGAGGCTGGATGGCCATCTTTCGGGTATGTCGTAGGGCTCTCTTTCGGCTGTGCTCCGGCAGAGGGCAGGGGGTTGGACTGGATGACCTGCAAGGTCCCTTCCAACTCTCACATTCTATGATTCTATGATTCTGTACCGGCTAAATATCAGGAGAAACTCCCTAACTGTGAGAGTGGTTGAGCAGTGGAACAGTCTTCCTCGGGAGGTGGTGGATGCTCCTTCGCTGGACGTTTCCAAGCGGAGGCTGGACAACCATCTTTCGGATATGTCGTAGGGCTCTCTTTCGGCTGTGCTCCTGCAGAGTGCGGGGGGTTGGACTGGATGACCTGCGAGGTCCCTTCCAACTCTAACATTCTATGAGGCCATAGATGGGCGCCCACCGCCTCAACCAAAGGCCTGGCGGAAGAGCTCCGTCTTGCAGGCCCTGCGGGAATTGAAGGAGATCCCGCGGGGGGCCTTGGTCTCAATAGGGAGCCTGTTCCACCAGGCTGGGGCCAGGCAACAGAGCAAGCCCTGACCCTGGCTGAGGCCAGGCGGGCATCCCTCGGGGCAGGGACCACCAGGAGGTGTTGATCTTCCGAGCGTAACGCTCTTTGAGGCGTATATGGAAGAGGCGATCCCTTAGCTATGTGGGTCCAAGGCCATGTCAGTCTGTCGCTGCAAAATGGTAAAAAGCCCAGTGGCGCCTTTAAGACTCACAAACTTCATTGTGGCATACGTTTTCGAGAAACACAGCTCTCTTTCGTCAGAGGCATCCGTCGAAGAGACCTGTGTTTCTCGAAACCCGTGCTACAATCAAGTTTGTCCGTCTTAAAGGTGCCACTGGGCTTTTTACTATTTTGTCAATCCTAAAAGAAATCAACCCTGACTGTTCCCTGGAAGGCCAGATAATGAAGCTGAAGCTCAGATACTTTGGCCACCACATGAGAAGGGAGCCCTCACTGGAGGAGAAGACCCTGATGCTGGGAAAGATTGAAGGTCAAAGAAGACGGGAACGGCAAAGGACGAGATGGTTAGACAGGGTCACAGATGCAACGAACATGAAGTTGAGCAAACTTCAGAGGACGGCGGAAGACAGGAGGGCCTGGCGTGACTTGGTCCATGGGGTTGCGAAGAGTCGGACTCGACTGTGCGACTGAACAACAAATATTGGAGCTGCGGTGGCTCAAGGGGTTAAGACGCTGAACTGCAGGCTGTGGAAGGTCGGTCGTTCAGCAGTTCGAGACCCGAGTGTGCCGCATGATGGAGTGAGCTCCCGTCTCTAGTTCCAGCTCCTGCCAACCTAGCAGTTCAAAAGCAAGAGATTGCAAGGAGATAAATAGGTACTGCTTCGGTGGGAAGGGAACAGCGTTCCGTGCGCCTCGGCGTTTAGTCATGCCGGCCACATGACCACAGAGGAGTCTTCGGACAGCGCTGGCTCTTCAGCTTGGAAACGGAGGTGAGCACCGCAACCCTAGAGTCGGACTCGACTGGCTTTCGAGCAAGGGAACCTTTACCTTTATATCGTAAACATCACTGCATAGAATCACTAGAATCACAGAGAGTTGGGCCGTAGAGGCCATCCAGTCCGACCCCCTGGCTCCATGCAGGATCAGCCCTAGAGTATCCCTGACAAGGGTTTGTCCAGCCGCTGCTTCAAGACTCCCAGCGAGGGGGAGCTCACCCACCTCTTCCTGTCAGAAAGTTCCCCCTAAGATCCAGCCGGTACCTTCCCACCTTTAATTTCAACCCATTCTTGTGAGTCCTCTCCTCTGCGGTTTATGTCTACGGAATTTAAGGTAGTCTTCATTGGGCAAATTATGGTGTGTGTGTGTGTGTGTGTTTTTCTCCATTTTCCTCTAACTCTGTAACCCAGATTCGTTACTCTGTTTATTAATTATTTAATTGCACCGTTTCTCAGTCCGTGCCATCAACAAAATGGGACACGCAATAAGCAATGCACTACCTTGGTGTTTAGTCACGCCGGCCACATGACCACGGAAACGTCTTCGGACAGCGCTGGCTCTTCGGCTTTGAAACGGAGATGAGCACCACAACCCTAGAGTCGGACTCGACTGGCTTTCGAGCAAGGGAACCTCTACCTTTTAGGACTGTAGAAGTCTGGAACCACCAGAAAGAAGCAGAGGCATAGCATGAGTGGTCACATGGCATATTGAGCAATACGGAAATTACATCAATAGGAACCCACTTCCAGTAAGCTAGTCACAGCAGTACAGACCACAGTCCCGAATCATTTATCCAAGCAGTCCGTAAGACCATTTTGTGCACTGCAGCCCTCTTACCTGGGCAGAACAGCCCTCTGGAATAGTTCAGTTTTGCATTGTTTGCGGAAAGCTGGGGGAGGGGGGAGCTTCCCTGACCTCCTCAGGGTGACCATTCCATCAGGTGGGGGGCCGCAACAGAGAAGGCCAGGGGTCATTTCCTGCTGGAGCGCACAGGAGCGGAGCTCCGGCAGTAAGGAGCCCAGGAGGCGGGCACATGCAACAAGCCCCACCCCCTGCTCCCAGCAACCCTCAGTCGGGCCACGAGGAGCAAGAAGCAGACAGGTAAGTTGCAGAGCCCCCCCCCGCCCGCCTTCAGGTACAAGCTCTCCCTCCTCTGCGAGGACAGATCTGCACGTCCCCCCCCCAAAGAGCTAGCAATCCAAAACAGTCCAGTGGAGCCTGAGCGGTGGGTGTGGCCTTCTGACACGCTTCCGGTGATTTCAGGGGGCGTGGCGTACGCAAATAAGTTATGCCCCCTGGAGAAGGCACATGTACAAGCAACACATTTTGCAGATGTTTCGATTTTGTTTAGTGCATGCCATATAAAGTTCCACTGCGCTGTTCTCCAATGTGATAATGCAGCTCTACTGTCTCTATTGTACAGCGTTTTGTGTCTGCCGTTCTCTAATTTTGTGGGCCGTCTGTATTGTCCCGTTCTTGCGGCATTGTTTTCAGTGGGAATCTGCCCTGAGTGTCACTGAGAAAGGTGGACTATAAAAAAAGCAAAGAGATAGACCCCCTGTCTCACCCCAACCGAGCTGGAGAATTACGGCAGCCCCTGGGGTGAAGCCACTGAGTTTGCATCCCCAAAGGTTCCCCGAAAAGAACGTTTCCTTGGGGGGAAAGCCCCTCCTAGCCGATATCCTCATCCCATCAGAGGAGACTCAACATGCCACCTTGTGTGACTTTAGGGTTGCCAAGTCTATCTTCGCCGGGAAGGGGGGGCTCCCGGCCGGCGTCTTGTGGGCGCGTGTGCCGCACGCACGTCACCCGGAAGTGACGGGAGGACGCCAGGCACGCTGGGGGCGGGGCCACGGCCATACAAGGGAAAACCCTAGAGTTTTCCCTTGTATGGCCGTGGCCCCGCCCCCAGCGTGCCCGGTGTGCCCACGTCACTTCCTGGTGACACGCATGCAGGGGTGGGGTTCCCCTCGGGGCCCGATTCCGCGGCGTCGGAAATCGGGCCTCCAAAGCGGGGGTTTACCTGCCCCCCGCCCCCACTTGGCAGCCCTATGTGGCCTCCTGGTGGTAACAAAGGCACGTGGGAAGCCCATGAACAGGGCACAGAGCCTAAAGCCTCTCACTCTCACTCCCTGACCCCAAAGTGGTGGTCAGCCTTACCCTGGGCATGTAAGAAAGAGCCAGGAAAGCCGAGCGCTGGCTCCCCCCTTCCTACCTCCCCCCCACCGTCTGCCCAAGTTCACAGAATCAGCACTGCTGTCAGACGACCCTCTAGCCTCTGCTTC